AAACAAGGAGATCATTTGTCACAAGATATATCTCAACAGACAAAGAAGCCACACAGCCACCCTTAATAAGTCATATTGTCGCTTCAGATAAGCTCCATATATTCAGACATTATTTACAGCAATTGTTTTAGCAGGAAATCTAACATCCATTTTATAGTAATAGCCATTAAGAGTAAAACATCCATTTTTTTAAATCAGTCCTAGAAGGAAATCCAAATAATTTGCTATGCTGCTGAAACATTTTCCATACCAACAACTTCTACAACTGACCAGTATGATGGAGAGAAATGAAGCAAACAAGGGTGACCTTGAAGCAAAAAAGGATTGAAAGACTGATACGTGTGATTTAACATGAGTATATAATATATTTTTTCTTTGTTTTTCAATTCTTTTCTTTTCTTCACGGTCTAAATCTCTCACAAGAAGTCTTTTTACAATATAACAATTTCAAATAAAGCAAAAGAAAAGAATACAATAACATCTCAAAAACTTGAAGCCATTTAAAACCACACTTTTCATCAACATAGAAAAGACACAGCATATGTTTGAAAATAAAAGATATAATAAATAAATATGAAAGAAACAAAAGATGGTGCCGAAGATTCTGGGTTTCTTACACCCCACACTGAGTCACTACCTTCCGATGACGAGGGGTCTAATGGTAGACCTTTTTTAATTTGGAAAAGAAGTTTGGACAAGCTATACCAATGGAACATATACCCATTTGATCACAAAACTCAAACCTCAGATGAATCCCCTTAGCAACTTAGTTTGAAAGAGATGCTTCTATTTTTTACCATAACCCTACAGTTTAAAACCCCAAAGAGAGATGAGAGATCATGAGAAAGACATCATGAGAGAGATGACAACTCTCAATAGCCTAAACCCCTTAGGTTCTTTAACAATGTGGGAGAGAGAGAGATCTCGAAGATAAGAGAGTGGGGTGTACCCCCTTTGGGTTTTCATGAGAGAGAGAAAGAAACTTTCTTAAGAGATAAAGATATTCTAAGTGGGGTGTGCCCCTTTGGTAGGTTAAGAGAGAGAGATAGAAAGATAAAGTATAGAGATTTTGGGTAGAGACAATCCCGTTTTTATAGTGCTCGATCAAGATTGAGATTTTTTAGAGTTTTCATTGGCTTGCCACTCATGTGAGATTGAATATGCATAATTGATCTTGGGTGACTTGTGGGGTGAGAGATTTGAGCTCTTCATTCCATAGATGAGCAATCAACATTCATGCTAGACCATTATTTCTCGCTGTCTAACTATTTTCTCAATAATTAATTCAAATAAAAAATTAATATATCAAAAGATTATCTTTTCAATCTATTCTTATTTTATGCATAAGCTTTTTCATATATACCAAAATATCATTCAAAATTTCCTCAAGGCTTAAGCTTACTTAAAACGGCACAAAGTTATATCTCAATATTAAAGCTTCATTTCTGCAAAATAAAAGGTTGGTGGGGCGTGCCAACTATTTGGTCACATAATAGGTCCCCTCCCAGTATGCAATGGTGGGCCTACAAGAACATTTGGACTTCCCATGCAATTATAATATTTTTATAACTTTAGAAAAACAGAAAATCATTATTTGAATATTTAAATCATTATAAAATCAATATCTCCGTTTTTATAAATCCAACCACGAATTATGAACTACATATGCTTTCTCAAATCGACCCAGCATTGCCCATAGCTCACAGTCCATGCAGGATCATTAGTGGGTCACCAAAGTCTAGCCAATAGGCAAGGGATCGCAGTCCCAGTATATGCATTCTTTAGTGGTCGGCATGGCCACTAATCAGGCAGATTGGACAATAGCTTTTAGGCATGGGCCTGATTTTAGGCCGCCCTATTAGGCTTGTGGACCAAACTTGGGCGAGGTCGGTAATATGATTCTAGGTCCAAGCTCTATCCAAGCTGAGCTTGAGCTTACGTACAAGAACTCGTACCAGACCCGGACAAACACTAGACCGGTGTGAACTTAGCTTATTATATGGCTAGGAATTTACTCGGACCCGACTACTCAAACCAATCCAGGTACGAGTATTGGTTTAAGATTTGCACCAGGCGGGTCGGGTCTGGGTCTAGGTGGACCCACTCCGATTATTTTAAAATATTATATTATATTTTATATATAAAGTTATAAAGATTAATAGAGTAATATATACTTACTCTTTTATCTTCTTTCGGCACTCTTCTTTTTATAGACTTACCCACCCTATCTATATATATAAAAATATTTCAAGGATAAATTATAATGAAAATCCATTGTAATGAATAAAAATAAATAAATTGAAATAAGAAAACATATGAATCTTCAAGTCTAAACAATATGCTAACTGCTCCCTCCCTCTGACGCTTAACACAAAGAAGCAAAGCTAAATAAGAGTCATAGGCATTAGAACAACCTTAATACCAATCAGCAAAGGTAAATAAAAGTCATAGGCATTAGAACAACCTGAAAACCAATCAAACACGTCGAGTGATCCACTTGCACTAATTTTGCATTTACTAAAGATTCTTGTAAACCATTGGACAAAATAATTTCCAGGACAAAAAGAAAGGTAGATAGATATTGTTATTCACCAAAAGTTTGAATTGCAAGTAAAACAAAATAACTGCAGCTTCTACATAGCTGTAGAGACAATAGGGGCAACATTTGGAGGATTAAATTGGGGTAAAAAGTTTGGTTTGGTCATAGGGGGGAAAGTGTAGATGCCATTAACAAGGTCATCGTTGTCTCAAGCGACTCACTCCTCCCCTCACAAAAATTGTTGGTCCCTCGAGAAATCATCAAAATCTCTATACACCACGCTCATCCATAAACCACGTCCTCGTTATATACTGAAAACAAACCTATGGAAAGAGTGAAGGGGTGGGTGGAGAGAAATTCCAACAATGCTCCCATAACATAATGAAAACAACCTATAGAGAGAGAGAGAGAGAGCCAGCCCCATAGAACAGAGAGAGAGGTAGACCGAGAAAGAGAGGGGGAGAGAGGGCTGTAAAGAGAGAGCGAGAGACACTTGATATTGTGAGATTTCTGTGTCTCTGCTTTGCCATGGTCTTATTCTTGGGGCCCATGAAAGCTTGTTGGGGCTTGTGGGAGTGGTTTCAATGGAGGTGAGGGTGGGAGGAAGAAGAGGGTTGTAGATAGGGGGTGAGGAAGGGAAAACGAGCCAGCGTTGGGACGCCACCATACACTCTCTTTCGATATAAGCTATCAGAGCTTCTTCTCCTTTCCCTCATAATCAATCTTTCATGGTGCATAGAGAAGGCGCGAAAGTGGGAGACTGGATTTATGCGTTAAATTTGAATTCAAATTTTGAAACGATGTTTTAAATTTATGAGGAAATGAGCATTTTGGTATTAATCTGGGCTGTTGGATTAAATTTAATCTAATGGATGCTATTGTGCCAACACACGGTTTCATTACACTCTAATAAAACGGTTGCATTAGATCACATACCTTCATGTTTTTGGTAGGTTTTAGTAAGGGCAAGCTTTCTATGCTTCCCCTACAGCATAGAAGTTCTACCTTACCCCTTATCCAACCGTCCATTCTGAATGGAGGGCTAAGATTGCCACAATCACAATGTCATGTCTCTACATTATTTTATTTTTATTTTTATTTTTATTTTTTTCTATAAACTATTTTGATACTAAATTTTGGACATCCATTCCTCTATTAAACTCGCACTAGCGAAAAATATATATAAAAAAATATTTTCACTAAAATAAAATGACCAAAATACCCCTGATAATTTCAAGGGGTATTTTGGTCATTATATTTTATCAAAAACTTATTTTTAATATTTTTTTTATAGGTGTGCCCAAATGAAAAGATGACACGTACCAAATTTCATATTCATACAATTTGTATAAAAAACACCAAAAATCAAATACTTTGAGACGTCGGATCTAAAATCAAACGGTGAGTGGCTTTCTTAATCAAAGTTGGATGGCTGGATGGTAGAGGGAGGATAGAACTTCTATGCTGTAGGGGAAACATAAAAATATTTCCCTTTTAGTAATGTTTTGGTCTACATTTTAGGTAATTTTTATTTTTTCTATGTATAATCCATCATGTCCGAGTCCGGGTACGGATCCTCCAAATAATTTCCGGGTCCAGGTCCACGTACCCGACGTGTTCCCAGCCGTAGCTTATTAGCAGCCCTATATGTGAAGGGTTACAAACAAGCCAGACCGGTCCTGGGGACTGATACCATTCAGCACGAATTGTTCAATAAATTCGATAGTATTCCCAGGAACTGTCACAACATATACTGCTTAAAAGGCATTACGCAAATGCTTGGAAGATTCAGTAAACAGATATTGGACGTCACAGTATATGGTTGCGTGAGAGATAATTCTATTTCGTCATTCATCATTCAAAGCACGAAAAAAGAAAAAAGAGAATGAAGAAAAGAAAAGAAGAAGAAATAAAAAAAGAAAAGTTCACTTAATCTTAAGAAAATTCATATCAAAAGGGTTCTCCTTGGTGGTGGCAAATATCACAATTCTACAACATAGGTAGAGACCATATATATGTACTCGCACACACAAGGAAAACCTTGTGTGCATCATGGGAGTTTTTTATTCACGAAGCTCACCCACCAAGAGGTTCAGGTTGACCAAGGCAAGTTTTTAAGAGTTACCATTCATTGAATTTCTTTTAAGTATCAATGTTTTATGACGCAGTATCTCAATCCCCAATAATTTGGAAATCTCCACATCTATTTCCTGCGGGAAAACATGAAGCAAGTAGCTATTGTTTCCACATAGAGGTGCTTGGGAAACCACAGGGAAAATAACCTCACCAATTTCAAGTAATAAGTTTACATGGTCAATGACAAAATCTATACAAATCAATTAATTCTGTTCAATATGGAATAGAATATCACACAGCCTGCTTACAAAACATACTTTACATCATGTCAACCCCTCCACACCCCAACCCCAACCCCAACCCCAACCCCCCAACCCAGAGAGAGAGAGAGAGAGAGGAGGGAGGAATGGAGGTAGGGACAGAAAGAGGAGGGAGGAGGGGGGAGGTGGGGAGGGTCAATAAACAAAGTTGGAACCAGACCTCTATAAATACCAGGGGGCTTAAGAATAACAAATGAAGAATCAGATAATCAATATTTTTGTACACAAATGTAGAAAGGATAGACTAAGTAACAGATGTCCAAGGCAAACCAGAGGATTTATTGTTACAAGTGATGGGCTTCCATTCTTGCTAAGCTGCCCAGCATTGATGAACTCGTTCTTATGAGAAGATGATGAAACATTCACAGGAGACCCACCTGCTCGAAACCCAATTGAGTACACGTCAGTGAAGTTAAAAGTAATAACCGATCAAGTAGCAAGATCAATTGAACTAAGGATAGTAATTTGAGGTGGGAAGTACACCATAGTCCAGTGGATTAATATAAACCATGGTCAAAGGTTATATTTACTGTCTTTCCTGCTGATGGATGGTTGGAGGTTAACAGGAGTGGGGTCTTCACCCAAGATCAGTTAATGACCAACCATCAGTCAGGAGGAACAAACCTTGAATGCAGCCTTGGACTAATCCTTTCTCTGTCGATTGCATTAAATCTACTTTAGCTTTTTAGATTCCCAAGATTGAACTAACAATTAAAACAACCGTTAGCTTTACTCAAAAAGAAAAAAAAAAAAATACGTACAGTTAAAATTGGTCCACCCTATACGTTGGTTCTCCAGATCATACACCAAGATCTTGTCTTTTAGAACAAGGTCTGCACAAAATGATGGAGATCTTCATCAGGATGTCTTACTAAACTAGGAAATGACCTGAACAGTCAGAAATAATTTATGCTAAATTAAGAAAGTGATTACCTTTTCTTCATGAGATATGAAATTAGACATCTATTATTCAATCAGTTATCTCTCCGAGGATTAGCAAGATTCATAACAGAAATTAACCAGTGATACAAAAAGCAAAGACTGAGGCTCAGACTCGCCCGAGTCACTAGGATCCAGCAGGATGCAGAGCCCAGTTCAGAAACCTGAGACTCAAGACGAGTCTCACCAGGTCAGGGACCCTACATTGTTATATCTTTCAGAGGCTTGGCCAAGTCAGACCGCTGATTTGGCCACAGGACCCAGGCAAGTCCCCACCCAAGTCCCAGTTTTTAAGCAACTGGCAATAGCACATCACCCATATTACCAAAGCAGTAATTTAATAGCCAAGGTAGGGCTAAGTACAAAAATGAAACTATGAGACATCCTGTGGACATACCAATAAGGATGCTGACAGTGTACATTGAGTGATGTATTTTCACTGTTTTCTATAGCTGGAAAATGTGGTGTATAATTAGCAAAATTGAAAGATTTGGAATGAACATGATGCGGGGAAGATGAGGGAAGAAATAATTAAAATAAAAATAAAGGGTGAGAGAATATATCCTCTCTCTGAGTCTGCAAGGGAATCCACCCTAAAAGATCTTTTCACAAGATCAACTCTTTACTAAATCACTAAATCTCATTTTATTAAGAGACTTCTTCCCTTTAAATACACAGAATAAATAAATAAACCCACAAAAAAAAACTCTCTCTCTAGAGCTCACGTCTCCCTCATCAAACCACTCTCCCTAAAACTCACGTCTCACTTATCAAACCATCTCAAGTAAGCCTTATCCTAACTAAATCTAATTAACATTCATCTATTTAAAACCAACTTCCTTTGCCTAATATTAAAACCAACCATATCTCCAAAACAACTCATGCACTACCATGTCCACTAAACAACTCACACACTACCCTATCAAAAACAAAAATTAATCCATTAAAATAAAATAAAATTTTTATGAACCCAATTTTTAATTGCATCAGAACTTTAGGTCTTCTTCCCAGATAACTGTGCGACAACATGATATAGAAATTTGAATAAATAGACCTCCAAGTCACTCTAATAGGAAATGCCAGAACTTATCATGAATATGGGTGACCACTAGCTCGCAATAATTCAAAATGCTATGGGATCATCAAACCCATTTTCAAATATCAGATATACCAAATCATCGAAAGAAGCATGAACCTCTCCATTTGCTCATGTGGTACCTCCATCTAGTCTCCCTGCTTCACTATGAAATGTAACCTTCCAATTTCCAAGGCATCTAAAGTACAAATTTGTAGCCTTTGTAAAGTGCTCTGAGCATCAAACGAGGATTTCTTTAAGTGACGTAATGTAAACAAACCACTCAGATGTTATTTCCCCATTCAGGGAAAAATCCCGATAATAATCATGTTAATGCACAAGGAATTATCTCAATTTATGCATTTAAAACAAGTTGTCCAATAGAAGGAGGCATCTTTAAGCACTAACACAAGTTAAAGAAATCCCCACATGCTAGGCAATGTAGTTCTCTGCATGAACCAAATTTGTACCTCTCCAAAGCATTTACTTGAACATTTAACTTAGAAATTTGTATTTTTCAATTGTGCATAAAAGTTTTGAAAATGAGAGTAACAATTACCCTTTATTTTTTGTAAAAGATAAAATTGTAAGTAGTGGCGACCCTAGCTTACACTTCCAATATCCATTAAATAATTGTTTCAGCAAAATAATTACATGAAAGAAAGAGCATATCATGTGAAGTTTATGCCTCGTGCAAACTTTCTGTGTGATCACACATCAAGTGTTGTATAAAACAAAGGGGAAAACCGAAAAACTACCCAATGGACAGGGCTGTCCGTTTCTACTGCAATGAAGGTCCCCCTCAATAACTAGGCTAGATGGATTTTTAGCAATTGATTTTTTATAAATAAATAGATCACCCCAAATAATTGGGATAAGCTTGGATGATGATGATAATGATTTTTTACAAATAGCTCTTGATTCACCTTGTGATCAGTTCATTAGAAAAACAACTCTCAAAACTGTAGATGCTATCACCAACAAAAGGACAGTCCAGAACGTAGTTTAAAGGAGGCCACCCTCCAAGATATTCTACAACTGTTAACATCCACAACCATTTGTGGTAACTTTATGAACTGTCTTCAGCTGCAGTATTATAGTCTTTAAAAAGAAATCACTGATGATGGATTGATACCCCACAAAGACAGTTCAATTACTTTCAAAAAAATACAAAACAAAATGAATATAGAAAATGATTTGAAAACTAATCCACAATGCAATGACCAAGAGAAATTCAAAGCTTCTCAAAGAAGTAAAAGCTAACCTCCTAAAATTGTCAGTGATTGACCCTGATTTTTCTGCCAGCCAATGCACCATATAATTGCATTATCCTGAAAAGGTAGGATGAACATTTCCTATTAGCAAATAGACAGGCAAGCCTTAACTACCTTGTCGATGAATGACCCCATATCCTAATTCTAAATGGTGTATGTAATCAATAGGTACATGAAGGAAAACTTACAACAGAACCCTGCTGAATGAGATAGTCTTCAGGGTTTAACTTCATAGATGCACCTTGAAAGTTCAATGTAACAGTAGGAAATATCCCATCCAAACTGGACACAAACCACAAATTCATGGGGTAATTAGATGAGAGACCAAATCAAACTTAACTTCTTGGAAATAATAGGGGACGGTTCCAAGATCACACCTACTGGCAGCCACAAAACACTGATTGTCTTTTACAGGAACGGTGCGTGCAGACTGTGAAACTGCAGCAGCAATCTGCACGGTACCATAAGATAGCGAACAGGATTCAACCATAAAAAAATTTCTTTAAAAAAGAATCAGCACTCCAATTAGATCCTACTACAGCATTGGTCATAATTGGTAAATATTTTTTCTAGCAAAAAAATAACAAAAGTATCAGTTCCCCACAGGAACTTAGAGAACGGCACGATGTCGCATCTTTTAAAAGTTTGCAGATGGATTATATATTAATGGTTTTTAAGATTTTCTTATTCTCACATGTATTATATTTTGAAAATCCACAAGGATTGAGTTGTTATTTCTAAGTACTGCAGTCCATCAATAGCCCTAGCAAATGTGGCTAAACTTAACTCAAGAGAAACTAACGACTGCTTGGAGAATCAAACTTACAGCATTGACAAATGGGTCGTAAGCTTCATCTGCAAGGTATGCCAATGTTGTTCCAGAATCAATTATGGTTCCTTGAGTGCTTGAGGTTGCAAACACTGACGAGTCAATTGACAATGTTTGCCCATTTACAGAAATACTCTGAAGATTCAAATTATAATGAGGCCTGAAGACACAAATTATCAAACAACCATATCTTGTTAGAAAAACAACACTTATTTGATGCTTGAATGAGTCGTATTCGATTCCACAGAAGTTAGCAAATCATGATCCTAAAATTCTTATAAGGTAAGCAAAGATGCCTACGTGAATTATATTCACCATAGCAGTAGAGTACAATCAAACAAACAATTAGAAGGTCCTACTAAATCAATAGAAAAATTATGAATTCATATAAATAGAACGCCCCAGAATTGATACAGGACAGGACTGAATCTGACCCATCCATACAATCACAACCACTGTTAATTAATACACCATTGGAGATAGGACAGGACTGGACTGCATCTATTCCAGCCCATTTATGATGATAAATGATGAGAAGCAGGAGGCGAATAACCCTATTTCTGCCAATTTGCGTGGAGTACAATAAAATTAAGTTTGAAATTTTATATCCATATCAGATTCTCAACCATATATGTTTACTTTAAACCTGTTTATAAATACAGATTCATTTGTATATCACCAAATACATTTCCACACATACATGATCAAACCTTCATTTTGATGTTCAATGAAATTCTGAACTCTTTAAATGAACTATTTCTCCTGGCAGATATTTTTCGATCATCAACATCGACTGAGTCACCAATGAAGACGTCGGAAAATAATAAATAAACAAAACTCAGCTCAAGAAGCTGTTTACTCTATTAATTTGTAGGAATTTGGATAAGAAAGAGAGAAACGATTACGACAAATTGCATGAGAAATGCAACCACAAGGAAGCAATCCAAGAAAAGAGGGAAAGAAATAGAAACAGGAAGGTCCATTGTACCATATCATTTCTGGTAGGCACAAACACTCCCTTTTCCCAGAGGTAACCATTTTTTCCACATTGAAGACATACCGATATTGCATGAAGCTTCCAAATTTCCCTAAAAATTTAAAAAGGGTACATCAATTAATAGAGCACTAAACCTCCACCCATTAGCTAAACCTCACTCTCTGATAAAAAGTAAATGAATGAGAGAGATAAAGCAAATGGCTTTCCCAACTCTGAACTTGGCTGTCTCCATTTCATTGAATGCCCCAAAATCGCAAATTCCAAATTACTATTTGGCTCAGGAGCCACTCAGTAGTCATCGTCCTTTGTTTTTTCTTGGCCGTTTGTAACTCAAAAATCAGAATATATATGAGACACCATCCATCACAATTATTTAATAGAAGCAAAATCGATAAACCTTTATAGAAAATTCTTATGTTCCTACCAGAAGCTCCATAGTTTTATCGATTTTGATCAATAATAAAATTCATGCATGCAACCTGTACATACAAAAGCTTAAACGATAATCCACATTATTTTGGTCCAAGAACAAGAGGGACAAATCTGCAGAAAATAAATGTTCAAACTGATGACAGACATTAATATCTTGAATGATGAATAAAACCTCAAATTCCATGTCATTAGTAAGAGGGTTAATTGAGATTTACAGTGATTGAATAATTGGTGTATAGACAATTCCAGGCTCCACAATCTCTCCCAAAACTAGTATTCCACCACCTCCTGCTCTCAAGCAGTGAGAGAAAACTTTTGGTGCTACCCCTTGGGATGACAGTTGAGAAATAATGGACAGATCACTTTGCCCCAATCCCAAGATCCCATCAACTGCCCTATCTGATTTTGTCAACCCGCCAGTTTGAGAGTCGCTACAACTGTTTCACCAAGCAATTAGATGAAGTCACATAAAATCCCCAATATAATCCCCAATATGAAATGCATTAATATATATATAAATGACTGTCTTATGTGACTTTAAGAGCTGACCCGAAAATGACAGAAGCTGAAGAATTTGATGTAGAATCATCTCCAACTACTGTTTGGAAGTGCATAGTGTCAGAGACGTAATGACCATTAGTCCCACTTCCATCACCATATTGAAAGGAATAATCACAACTCGATTTAGAGCTACATCCAGCTTCTGAAGATCGAGTTGCAGCGATGCATTTGGGATTCGTACAAGACATCATACTAGCTGTTGATGATTGTTGGGGATTAAAGAACTCTAGTGTAATCTACAATAAAAGATTTTTGAAAAGTCAAAGGCTTGATACATGCTTGGATATCATAATAAAGGTCATAACAAGGTCCAAGTTCTTTAAACTGAGATAAGCTGGAAGTAACAAAATAAAAATCAAGATCACATCAAACCATCATTTTACATGCATTGTAAAAATCATGTGAACCTAATGTTGTTATACTCTGCATGGATATCATGATCAACACCCAATAAGAAAGAATGAATGAAAATATGCATGAACCTAAGATAAAATTCCACGAGAATATACCTTGACTTGTGATATTGAAGGTACTAAATGTAATATCAAAAGGAACAGGAGAAAATCACTTACTCCTAGTCCACTGGTATTAGGACAACCCCTGCATGATGCACAGGTGACCCACAAAATATCGCTTCCTGTATCAATCTGTACATAAAATTCTTTTGGGGGATTGCCCAATTGCACTTTTGTGAAGTACAGCCTATACAAAACCAACCAAGGAAAATCAAAATATCAATCAGACTTCGTGAAATGCAAAAGTACGCCATTTCATACGCAATATATGGATAAGTCTTAAGTGAAAACACGGGTGCCTAGCTGTTTTATGAAGCTAAAGCTCACAATACAAAGAGTGACAATATATATATATATATATATATATATATATATATATATATAGAGAGAGAGAGAGAGAGAGAGAGAGAGA